TACTTTCCATTTTACCCCTCCCAGACTGAAATCCCGGGAGCGCCACTGACTCAGTGTCACGCTCCAACAAGACATTTTCTTGCTTTGAGATATTTAAAAAATTATCTCAGTGCTGTACTTCACTTTACTTAGATTATCATTTTAAGTCTTTGAAAAAATACTAAACTTGTTCATTAAGGTATTGTGTCTCCATGCTTATACTTTGTCGTAAAATAATTTGCGCCAAAAGCGGTAGGCTATCTTCAGATCCCAATCATTCGCCTCCAAAGCTAAACCGTGCTCCTAAAAGTTTCATAAAAAATAAGAGAAAAAGACCATCCGAACCATGCCATATATTTGTGATGCATCCTGCATTGTGTTAGAGGTTAGCGACCCCGACACGATACAACTATATTCTTTTTGCTCATAGTAGGCAGTTGTGGAAGATAAAGGTTGGCAAACCAGCACACCATATTAAATTGCGATGAGATGTTTAATTTTTTTACCTTATTTTCAGCGAGTTTGAAACTCGCATAGCTATAAATCCGAAAGCACAGGTCCTGTTTCGGAGATCTCCGACCGATTAGGCCATTCTGTTGCCGGCCGGTCTCTGTTAGACACTTTTTCGTTTTATTGCAATGTCTTCGATTCACCATAGCGCTGCATTTTAGCGCTACCGCTAACGTAAGATGATATTTCGATACCAAGGTATTGATACAGGGTATTTCCAAAACATGGAAGAATGGAATGTTTTTTGAACTTTTCTGAAGCTATTTCATGATTCTACGATTTTTGGCTTACCGATAATTTGACAGTAGAGCCCACATACGAGGTCTCCAGATTAAGTGATGAGACTGGCAACGCAGCGTTCGATCTGGCAATACTGGAAATACTTGGCTTGGAAGAGAGACAGAAGAACATGTGATCCGCCTTCAGTACAAGTTTGAACTCGTTCGAATCGTTTTGCTGTCCGTAGCGATTCTTTTTATGAAGTGACATCAATTTCGAGCAACGATGTGCTATCAGTTTTTGCACAGTGTAACGGAAACTCTTGCTTCAGTAGTGTTTTGTCAAGAGGGAGGGAGAAGGGAGAAGGTCGATTGAAGATGGACCACGAAGCGGAAGGCCTTCATCTTCAAGAACCGATGAGAATATCGACATAGTCCGAGAACTTGTGCATTCAGGTCGTTGACCGACAGTCAGAATGATCGAAAAAGAGTCAAATTTGACTCACACCACCGTTTATAAGATCAAGAATAACTGGGTGTTGCATCACGATGATGCTCCTTGTCGCTCAGCAATTTCAATAAACGAGTTTTTGGTCAGTAAAGGCATTTCTGTGGCTTTTTAGCCTCATTATTCGCCTGACTCGAGTCATTGTGACTTTTTTATTTTTCAGAAGATGAGAAATCACCTCAAGAGAACTATCTTGGGACAGTCGAAATCATTCAAATGGCTGTAACCGACAAGCTGAAGGCTATTCCAGTATCGGAGTTCCAGCACTGTCATGAGGGTAGAACAACCGTCTTCAACAATGTGTGACTTCAGAAGGAAGTTACTTTGAGGGTGACAATATAAAATTGTAATTATACTCAAATAAAGAATAAAAAAAGTCTCATCAACATGTCCAGCGTATTTAAACGACATAGAAGTTTTACAGAGAACTGTTTTAAAAATTATGTTCGGAAAACCAAAATTATATTCAACAATTGATTTATGTAACGAAACAAAATTACTTGATATCAAGCGTCTATATTTTTTACATACTATCAGTCATTATCACAAAGTTGTCAGTGAGTCCGATAAGAACTGTCCCTAAACCTCAAAAAACCATAATGAAGCGATCTTTTCTCTATTTGGCTCCAAAATTATATGAACACATACCCAAAGACTTGGAACAATTTGTAAATACAGATAATTTTAAAAAGAAATTATCGGAATGGATACGCGCAATAGGAAAACAACACATTATTAAATTCCTATCAAATATTCCTTAAAAATTATTATCCTCTACATATACACCTCTTTGATACAAGTTTTTATTTAAGTTTCTTGTAACTTTTTGTTTTGATTTTGGAACAGATTCAAACATACGACTGATCCATGTACTGGCATTGTCCTTCTATCGATTGAAACATTTATTTACCCATTCTATGTTGTTATTGTTCTTATATAATGGAGTAAATAAATGTCTACTACTACTACTACTGCTTAATTATCAGACCTTGTATGATGGTTTCCATAGGGGACAATTAACTCATTCAGATCGCCAGAGACAGACTAGTCGAAAAAATATATTACCATCTTTTATACCCTCTATAATAATAACTCAAAAATAATATTTATACAGAAGCTGATCCATTCTCTGAGAAAATGTATTTTCATTAGATTTTGATGATATGAGACCATTGCACACATGTATTCAAATACAAACGTGTACACCAATGCGACTAACGTGTGTCCTAAAAGTTTTGGCCCAAACTATTTATCGGATTTTTTTAATGAGTTTTAATGAATTTAAACACTAACTTGTTATCATAAATACAACTCAATACGTAACTAAACGATGCTTTCAAATTATGTAGAGTGGAGTTTTTCGTAAATTCGCCCTCTTAATTGTTCTTCGTCTTGGGCTTCCCAGCCTCCATGATAAACCTTCCCAGACAGTAAAGCCTAAAAATCCTCTAATAGGCGAGCCAGCGGCAAGCTTGGAGGATTATCGTTATCGCGAACAAAGGGTATGTTGTATTGTCGAAGCCAGTTTTGGGTATCTCTTGAGTAATAGCATGATCCTAGGTCTGGCAAAAACATGATATGGTCATCAGCATGATGTTCGTGGACAAACTGAAGCGATATGGAAAGGCAGTTATCAACATAGCTTTGACAATACAAAGCTTCACCCCTCACTCTTACCACAAAAGGTTGGGATACAACGCTATTAGAAAGTACGCACCAGACAAGGATTTTATCGCAAATTTTGCTTTATGCTTGTATCTAACATTGACAGGGCATTCCTCTAGACTGTCCGTATAAAATCCGTCGTTTCCCTTAATTTCAGAATTACTTAAGATAAATACTTTTGTCATATAAAATAACGATTTTTCCATTGGCAAAGTGTATCCGCCTCAGTTCACGACTGCATCTTGGTATACAAAGGAGTTGTGCTTGAGAGTATTTGGGGCACTTAAAAGTCTCTTTCAATATTCAAGACCATTCCTCTTCGAAGATCTGTATCGACAGGCCAGCCTCCTTGTTGACATTCCAACCTGATTTTTTGCTCTTTTCACTAATCTCTCCGACCTTTGTGCAGTAAATGCACGTGGTCCTTCACTTTTTTGGGAGATTTAGACATGGTATTCCCTGTTCGCACTCCGCTATTGTTTGACAAATGGTACTGCGTAAAATGTTTTAATTCAGTAATATTCGACAGATTTCAGCTTTGGGTACCCGTCCAACCAACTTGTAGATACCTTTTCTTATTTCTAATTTATACATTAGCGAAAACTTCAAAATAAATAAATGTCAACTGACAGCAAAGTAAGTAAACAATCTTTTATTACCAAAGGCAACTTGATATTATTTTGTGTTTGTTAAAATTAAAGCCAATTAATTTTGTGCCAAAACTTTGCGGACGCTGGAAGTATCGTCGCTAGCCGGTTTACAGTTGCCTACCACAAAAATTATGAATAATACGACAAAATCGCTCCTACATCGCATTTATGTGTTCCTTGGAGTGATTCAGTTGAATCAGCAATGTTGAAAACCTTCCAGATGATCAAGTTGATACAAGCCATATTATAAGCAAGATAATAGTACCAGGAGTCATTAGACTCCATATATGGAGGTGTATAATCGGTCGAGAGCTAAGAACATACAGGTCTTTTTACGGTTTTTGGCAAGTCACAGTAAAACTATACAGGAATTAAGCCATACACCCATGTTCCTCACTCATACATACGCAATCGGCCTTTATGCGAAACATACATTCCGTTTCAATGGCTTAAAAATTATATTGCCAACATATGAGTTTTCTACATTTACGTTTGTCACTTACTCAACTTTCTTGTTATGGGCGTGTGATTTGTTGATCTTCAAAACATAGTAGTGTCTGAAGATACAACCACAACGTTCACAGTCTGTGTTGATAAGTATTTTTGAGAAATTAGTGAAATTAACGGCCATCTATTATCTAATTTATGTGTGCGTGCAAGAGCGAGTTGTAGCTGCGTCACGGACTGGCTTGCACACTGCGCGGCTTCTTGGTGAAGTTAAGCTACTCACATCCATTAATCAATCTGTTTAGTTATTTTTTCTGGCATTGTGATGTAACCACCAAAAAACGCGACAAGGACTATATGCTACTTACTTGGAAAACATGCCACCCTGTAGAGGATGATTCTTAACTACGTGACGAAACGTAAATATACATTTCTTTTAAGTGAATTCCCCTGTATATTTGTAGTATGTTCTGGAAGTTATCAAAGAAAGAATGTTTGTAAAGTATACGGGAATAAAGCGTTTCGATTGCTACTTCTGGAGCTCCTCCTAAAAATGCTCAACTGACAGCTTGTAACTGAGTTACCGTAACCAATGATTAACGTATTCTACCTGAAGATAGGCACCCTTATGCTATATTCCCGCATCCAAAAAATTATGAGCTGAAATGAGACACCGTAGCGTCATCTACGAGAATTTGCTATTTTTCTTGGCGCTACGCTATCCCATTTCTCGGATAATTATGTGAATGGAAGAATATAGTATTAGGTATACAGAATAATACGTTGATCAATGCTTTTACAGATAAGGTAGTATTTTTTTGACAAAATGAGCTAAGTATTTGATGGTTCATTGCCATTCAAACTTTTTAAAGTTTTGAGCATCATTTATACAGGGTATTTATATTTATAGATATGAAATCTACTTTTTCTGAAAAGTTAATTGTATTTTGTTCTTTTACAAGCTTTATTTTGATATGGCGTTAATTGCGAGTGGAAGAACGAAATTCTTATTATAATTATTCCAGCAATTTTAATTGAAATATAAGACCTTTTTGATAAGTGAGCAGTTACTTGTTCTAGCTTTGGGACTATTGTGATTGACAAAACAGGCTTGACGGTTAGCACTATCCCAGTCTCACCTGTCAAATTATTCTGCAAGCTGCTAACAGCATGATTCCCTTTGATCGCGCTCCTAAAACAGAAAACAAGAGCGTTTAAGTGAGTTTCTCATTAAATTTTCAGCCAGCATATGTATTTATACAGAGTATAGCGTATGAACGCATTTAACGGCGCTCTCACAGTCAAGCAGAGTTTCTGAGGGGTATCGGGGGGGTGATAGGGAAAGGCTAGTAGGACGGCGTTGTGACAAGGCAAGCGCTCTACGTTAGAAAAGGATAGTAATACGCAGAGGTGTGCTGTTCGCGTGCCTGGTTGAATTTGCATATTGCACAGAGTCGGATTTGATTTGGATATACGATCTAGCGTACGACTGTTTCCCTATTTTGGCGCATAGTATACTCAGCCCTTATTACTTTTATTACCGTTATTGTATTGTTGTATTATCGTGTTGTTATTGTTGTGTTGTTATTGTTGTGCTGTTATTGTTGAGTGTCTTTCTTATCAAGGTATCAAAAATGAACAATAAGAGAAATAAACGTGGCGTCTCGAAAAAGCCGCATTTAAATACGCACAGGAAAAAAAAACGTTTTCCAGATAGAAAAGTAGGTACCAAAACAATTATGAATTTTAGCATTCATTTTGCCAATAAATTAGACTATACGTAGTTACTATTATAACTATATTTTATATGTTATTTTAGCTTAAAAATGACAGCAAGGTTTCGCATATGCATTCTCTAACAGAGACAGATGGCATGGATCTTCAAATTCAGGTGTGTATACCCTTTTTTTTTAGATTTGCACCAGAGGCTGATATCATTTCTGGCAATTCTGATTAAAAATGCAGTAAGTTTACTTCATAACGTCGATAATAGTATTGTAGAGCAGTTTAACTCAATCATAGCTAAATTCATTGGGGGTAAACGGATTAATTATTGCAAGAAGAGATCCTACCAAGGAAGATGTGCTGCAGCCGTAGTGAGCCACAATACACAGCGACCTGTTTGTGTGATCCAAAAGCGGCTACTCCCTAGTTTCAGTCCAACTTCTTTGATTGCTAAAGTTGAAGAAAGGAGAGCGCACAAAAATCTGAAAAGGAAGCTGAAACTAAGGAAAATTAAAATCAGAGATAGTGATACTAAAGAGAACGCATCCTATGGGGAATTCTGTGAGAAGCCTGACATGAGCAACGAAGATATAGAGGCTGCCAAGGTAGAATTCTTGAAAAAACTTGCAAAAACCGACTCCAAAATTTCCCAGATCGAGCAAGCCACAAAATCTCAGGATTGCAATTTGTGGCGTCTTCGTCGAAGAATGAGGTTGACTGCGTCTCGGTTTGGTGAGGTTTGTAGAAGAAGAGATACAACAAGTTGCAGAGCTCTAGTAAACGCCATAATATACCCAACCGAATTCTTTAGCAATGCATGTGACTATGGAAAAAAGCATGAAAGCGTGGCAAAATCAGAAATAGAGAAATCATATTCGCAATCAGAAGTACAATCTTGCGGGTTGTTTATTGATAGGACCCATCCATTTCTGGCAGCATCGCCAGATGGTTTGATAGGCGTAAAAGGTCTGCTAGAAATTAAATGTCCATGGTCGGCTAGAGAAATGACCCCTGAAGAGGGCATTCTGAACAAAAAAATTACGTTTTGGATAAACGATGAAATAAATAAAAAACATAAGTGGTATTACCAAATTCAAGGGCAGCTACACGTTGCACAAAGAGAGTACTGTGTGCTTGGTGTTTGGACCCCGTATGGTTTGAAAATAGACGTCATTCGAAAGGATGACGTTTTCGGGAAAAATGAAATGGAAGAGAAATTGAAATTCTTCTACATGAACTGCTTGCTCCCAGAACTGGTCGATCCCAGAAAAAGCAGAAATATGCCAATCCGCGATCCCGATGTGATCTTGAAGGCACAAGAGAACCGTTTGAACAAGAAAAAGAGTTCTTGAGAATTGGCTATTTTTGCTGTACTCGGGTACCAAAATGGAAGAGATTAGCATATTACATTGTACTCCGTTACTAACCCCTTCGTGTCGGCAAATGCGGTGTGCAGATCTCGCTTTAGCAGCGATGTGCGAGATGTTATGCTAATCTCTTCCATTTTGGTACTAGTACCAGATGTTCACTATTTATTGTATATTATGTATATATTGTTTATTTAAATAAAAGTCAATCGTCAGGCTCAATAGCACGTAGCATCGGCTAGCTTTATCTAGTCTGTTAGATGGCGAATATTGAAATGTCACATTGACACGTTAAGCGCCACAGTAGAATCTGAAAATCCAGTCCACTGGGCCAAAGTGTTAATATTGTCAAATTAGCTTGTTTTAAGTTTCGGTTTAATATTTTGACTTGACTTTTTTCTCAAATCCTATGATTTTCCCCTTTTTTGATTTTTTTTTCTGAGGTACTAATTGTATGTCGCGTGGCCCACAGACCAGTCGGGTCGCGTGGCACATAAGTCGCGTCGCGTTTTTTGCAAGTCAAGACTTGCATCATGTCGCGCGTTGAGCACTGTTTCGTGTCATTTATTATTGAAGCGTTGTTGGTATTGTACGTCATCTTGTCCAAATTGCTTTACTGTTTATAAATTATTGAATACCAAATTTGTGATGTCGCATTACGAAGCGGAGCAAAAAAGGCTTGAACAATTGTGTAATGAAATACTATCGGATGAAGAGAGTGGCAGTACTGAGTTATGTGGGGATGTATACTTATCTGATGCGTATTCTCCAAGTGGTAGTGAATCAGATAGTAGTTGTAGTAATTCCATATTTATCTGTATTACTGTTTATTTATACCGGTATTTTGTTTATTCCTGCATAAGACTTTGTCAATCTGTTTAGTTTATAAGAGTTCCTCCATATTTGTGTTCGTTAGAATATCGACATTTACCATAACTTACTGATTTGCTGTAAAATTACTTTGTTCATTTTTGAATGAGAATGTCTGATTATTTTATAAGATTTGCTTTTTGTTTTAGATTTGTAGAATATCCTCTTTTTGTAAAACTCTATAAACAACGTGTTTTTTAATGTTTTCATTTCCAATTCAGTATAATTTGGTCCCTCAGGCCACGGACTCTTGGTTCCCGTAAGAAAATCACATCAGCATGGCACACGTCTTACGTTACGCGGCCAAATATAACTGCCAGCAGTGAGACATATCATGTGTGTCACGAGGCCCAAAGCGCCAAATGAGCTGCGACACACGCATTATATCTCATGACGTGTTAAGTTTATTTTACGATACTCCATAAGGTTAAAGCTAAACAGCAAGTGACATTTTATTTGTGGTAAATGCGTTCACTATAATTATTATTTTTAACTAAAAAGATTACCGCCTCCAATGACCCTGGAACCACCTGGAAACTTTTGGTCATAAAGTTCTGTATTTTACCACACATGTCAAGTCTTTTCATTTGATATGTATATTGGGGGTTTTGTACAAAAATATGTAACTCGCAATTTCGAAACGGCGGCAATCTTGGAATCAAATTTTTAGTGAAGTACTGTATTCTACAAGGCGACGACTCTTATTTGAGATATTAGCAAGTATGTTATCCGCCATTTTGTAACGGCCGCCATCTTGATTTGAAACTGTTTTCGTATTACCGTTTTGTACAAGTGCTTCCATTTGATATCCATATTGGGGTGATTGAACAAAAATGATTTTTTGTGGTATCACCTCTGAAGCATGGCCTATTGTATAAAAAGAAATGATCAAAATCGATTAAAATTTTCCCCTCTTTCATTGAAGTCTATTAAAAATATCACTTAATGGTCCGATGTTTATCTCGAACGACCGACGTTAAAACTGCTACTGTTTAACTTGGGACAACAAATTATCTGAATACGTCCTTTCTTAGTCCGTACACACCGCCGCGTTGCTTCGACTGGCAGCACGAGATAGTGGATAAAATTCGTGTAAAAGCCTATTTGCAGAGGTTTTCGCGCTTCAAAATTGACGCTTCATTTTTGAATATTTTTCAATGAAATTTTCACAGTGCACTAAAAACAAGACTCCACAGGGTGCTATAGAGCCACTTTTTCGTTTTTTCCTCTGGGTTATTTTTAAAAAAATCGAGAAGTCGAACAACAATTATCTGCACTTCCACCCACCATAACTCCTGAAAAAAATTTTTTTTTAGAAAAGTGGCTCTATAGCACCCTGGACAATTGTCTTCTTAACATACTGTATAAATTTTATTCAAATATATAGAAAAATGGAGCGTCAATTCCGAAGCAGCTAAACCCTTGTAAATGGCCTGAAACTCACTGCGTCGGAGCCGCCTTAACGCCCAATCTCATAATTCAACCGCGTCTACGGGAATATTTATAACGGGACTAACTTTGTCAAGCGGGAGTTAACAGCGGCACAATACGACTAAACTGCTCAGCAACAGACTATTTGAGTCCTTTGGGGGTTTATGCACAAGAGTTGAGGACTACCTACCGCTGTTCTCGCTGTAGTGCAAACCAGAGAGTTTGACATATATGCTCAAGCGTATAATATGGATTAATTAAAAAAAAACGTTTGTTTATATCAAGCTTTTTATGTAGCTGCTAATAAAAAACTGAAAACGTTTCTTTCCGATTGGAAATGTGCCATTCTTTATCCTAACCTCTAAACGATACTGAAGCTACTTCATCTCAAGTTTTCAAATAGAAGCATGTTACATGCAACCATCAATAGTAATTACCTTTAGAAAGCATGAAGGAAAGGATGTAACATGCATTTTTGAATACTTGGGACTAAGAGGCTTCACTATCGTTTAAAAGCTAAGAAATATGAAACGGCATTTCTAGTTGATATAAATATATCTACATATTTCTATCTTATTAGCAAATACGTTAAAGCTTGTTTTTATAAAAAGTTTCTTCTTTTTTCTTTTTTTAGATTTGTATATAATTTACATAAATATAACATACTTTATAAAGATGTCCTTATATGGTAAAACTATTATTAAAATGCTAAGTTTTGGTCGATATGAGAGTCATATAGTACCTGAATAAGGTAGACGTTTACTTACAATTCTTACACATGTGCAGGGTCGCCCAAACTTGCATATTCTCACATACACAGAATCGTTGTCCATGGAATCGTGGTAGTCAGCACTTTTTGATATTGTAGCAAATAACAATGAAGTATCTTTCAAGAAATCGTTTTTGGTTCCAGCATGGAAAACAACATACCGCTTGCCGGTACCCTGATGGCCGCTTTTCAATTCTTTACGTTTCTATCTTGCCAGACTCGTTTAAACCATCCCTTGGGCAAATATCCACGTTTCATCTAAGAAAACGCAATGGAGAGAGTTTGTACTATTCTGGTTATTCACATAATGTCTCATAAAATAGATATGTTTGGAAACAATGTTTAATTTTTCACACAAGAGTCGGTGTTTATCTTCTGTCTTGTATGAAAAACCCCAGGCTTTCAATAAACGCCTTGAACTTGAATCCGAGGCGTTGCACATGTACCTTTTTTAAGCTCCTGATTGAGCGCCGAGATCGTGATATGCTGACCTTTACTTCCCATATCATGAAAAGTATTCCTAATTTCTGTTTGACGGCATCACTTACATCATAGGTCTTCAATTTTTTGATTTTGTGAGTTTCTCCAGGTGTTACTATGGGTAAACCTTTCTTATTTTATAATTTTATTCGCTGAACACTGCGCAGACTAATCTTCAGCACATTTGTTACTCTTTCCAGTACGCATTAAGTGGGCAACAGGGGACCGTTGTTTTCATTTTCTTCCTGGACATACTCTAATAAATTTAGCACGAGCTGTCGGCCATCTCAATTGATCGTATTTCGGGCATTGTACAATTTTATATTATAGACTGATAACAGGACAACTCAAATTGCACGCCGATGTCAAGTAAGTTGTCACTTTGACAAATATGATTGAAGGGCACTGATACGTAACGACAAAGTTTTCGAGACGGAGACACACAACTAAAAAAACGGATTTCTTTGAGCTTACCGAACAAACGGTCACGTACCGGGGTAGGTTGCATGTGTATGTATGAGGGAGATGGAGATATACTGAAAGTAATTTAGTAATAACTATTGCCCCTAAAAAGTGATATTGGTAGACTTCCTTTGACTTGTCAAGAACGGTGACTACCACTGAAGAGCAAAAATGCAAAAAACGATAAATCCACTTTTTACAACTTTTGAGTTAGGCATGGAATTCGGTTATATCACGTTAAACGCTAAGGAAAATGCTAGAAAAATGTCCATGTAGCCAAAGACCAATTTTGTATCATTCGTTCTGCTTATGACTTACAGTCTGGAAAAATACGTTTGATTCATTTATTTATGATCTCTTTAGCTGTTTTCTCAAAACATATTTAGCGGTTCCCAGGGACCGCCGTGGCATGGCGGGAAACATGGTAGAGTAGACATTGATGCTCTGGTTGATAGTAGTTGCTTCCAGTTATTGCCTTTTACGTGCAATTATAAAATGAGTTAACGTGCCAAACGCTTGGTTCAACTTGCAAGAAACCTTTTCTCGAAGTATACTAGGCTCAAGAAAAATATTACATAAGCGACATTATATAATAATTTTTTTTCAGACTCCAGTTCGTCTTCAGAATCGCTCAACGATCCATTTTAGTGTTCCTACTTTTGCCTTGACTGATCCGGAACAAGTCATAAATAAATGAAAATAATTTAAATTTTGTATCCCTATATCATAACTTATTAAATATATATATATATATATATATATATATATATATATATATATATATATATATATATATATATATATATGTAGGAAAATAATGGGCAAAATTCGCAAAAAGAAGGAAATCAGACACATAGTTCACAACAAGAGCTAACCTACACATTGTAATATAAAATGGCTAGAAGACCTTGCATTTTCAAGGCGACATCTAACCACAACCACGCGGCCGGTTATAGGCACTTGCTGTGGTACTTCAAGCCCAAAGGATCTACAAAGAGAAAATGATCATGCGGAGAAAGGTATATAACAAAAACTAGGAAAATAATGCATGATCATTTTCCCTTTGTCGATGCTTTGGGCTTGAAGTACCACAGCAAGTAGCTATAACCGGCCGCGTGGTTGTGGTTAGATTTCGTCTTGAAAATTCGGTCTTCAAGCCATTTTAGACTACAAAGTGTAGGTTGGCTCTTGATGTGGACCCCGTGTGTGATTTTTTCCCTCGCCATCTTCGTTTCCTCAGGTTACACCCGTATCCGGATGTATGGACAGGTGTATCTACTTTTGTAGTTACATATGTGCATTCATTTCGGGCCTGATGAAGCCAACCAGCAGAAATACGTATCACTCGGGCTACCTATCTTATTTTCTGATCGAATTCACGTTCTTTCTTTTTGCGGATTATGCCGAATATTTTCCTATTTTTTGTCATATACCTTTCTCCGCATGATCATTTTCTCTTTGTATATATATATATACAGGGTGACTTCGAAGTTGAGTCATTTATTTTAACAGTGAGTAGATCTGATCAAAAGAAATGTTTTTTTCCTTTACCATTTTTCTGGTAAAATTAAAGTAACAAAGTTATAGCCCTTTAGAAGTTTGAGTACCGCCCTGTCTCAATAATAATATTATGTGCTCGTGTTTGGCAACAACGGATATAATCCGCCTTATCGGTTCATCGCATCGGAAACAAAAAAGCGAAAGAATTTGGAACGATGTTTTTACAATTATTTTATTCAGTTGTATACAGTCAGTGTCAGTGGGTAACGCGTGAGTGAATAGTGGTGTCTGTTGCGTGGCTCAAACGAAATCAAAAATGGCACATGTTTACGAAAATGCTGAACTTGTGGACATGATTCTTATTTACGCGGCATCACGGATTTATGCGGATCGGTTTCCCAATCGAGTGCACCCAACCCCTCGTGCCTTTGTTAATGTAGTACAAAGGGCTCGTGAATCAGGTGACTTAAGACCTCACAGGTGAGAGCATGCCGGTGCTCCAAGACCGCACGATCAATTACAGGTCCGCACTGAAATACTTGTCGGGAGTATACTTTATAAAACAAGGTAACATTTTTTTTATTTTTTTTTGATTTTTACACACATATTTTGGTTTATCTTCCTTCTACAATCATTATCTGAAAATTAATGACTCGACTTCAAAGTCACCCTGTATGGGTGAAAAATTACTTCGAAGTACCCAACAAGAGGCGGAAGCTTTAATTTTTCACCTAACTGGTCTAGACGACAATGACCACGTCTCAAGTTATATATACATATATATATATATATATATATATATATATGCATCTTCACTGGAATCTTGTTTGTTTTTGTCATTGTTGTTGTGTAGATTTAGTAGGAAATAAATGATGTGACATTGAATAACTCTATTTGAAACAAAAATACACCAAAAAGGTGGCATTAAGGTATAATCCATACCAGCCACAGCGGTCCACCATATCTAACGCTAAAATGAATTTGAGTATGTACCTTTGGCTGGAGTCACCATGAAAATAAATTAAATACAAGACGGACCGCCGTGGCGTGATAGGCCCGTTGTCAAGCAGTCCCATGGGACCGCCATGGCGTTTAACGTATTAATTTCGATATCCTCCATCCATTTTTAAAGGCAGATTTGAGCAAAATCCACTAAATACTCATGAAAAATCGAATTTCAAAAAGTTTTAAATTTGACGGGGATTTTTCTTTAGAGGTTTTTGCCGTTTTTCTCAGAACTAAAAAAATGGATTTATCGGTTTTTGCATTTTTGATCTTTAACTGTATATGTGCTGAGATCTACACAACATCCTAAAAAATATCCAAAAGCCTTGTCACATAAGGCTTTTGTGGATATTTACTTAGTGCTAGTGACTCTAGTCGAATTTTTTATTTCATAAGCTCTATTCAGCCTACGTATGGGGCAGCGGAATTTTTATTCACCAACTAATACTTTCTCGCACCTAATCTATACTTACTTTTTCTCCTTGAGGAATGGAGCAATTCCTCGCGAATACTTGTTGCACCTATTGTAAAAAATTCGTATTAATCATGACATACTTAAATTTTAACAAAGAAAAAAGTGAAACAAAGCCTGCTTCAGAACAGCATCGCTGTCTTTGCAGCACTGGCGATCTATATAGCAAACAAGTTTTTGTACGTTATGATACGGTCGAGATATTTCAATCACAGATGGATCATGAAAGCTGCTGCGTGAAGATATCTCGATAAGGATGCTTATATACTCAAATCAAAGGTATCGAAAGTTTGTGTCGCGTGTATACCAAATCCTCGAAGTACCAAAACACAAAGATAATGTCGAAGAGATCGCATTTTATCAAGCACGTCATTGGATCATCTGTATAGCAGACCCGCTTTCCACGGAGATATTCTAGCCCAAAAGTTCTTATTAGTCTTTCATAACCCTTAGTATGTGTTGAGCAAAGCAGATTTACATCTTCGCAATTCCGCTATGACAAAAACCAACCACTAGCGGATTTGGTTTTTGACGTTATAAATTACTTTTTTATCGTAATTCATACTGACAGTAGAAGAGGCAAAGATGGAGACGAATCGACGACCTGCACCATACTAAACAGTTGCCAAAACCATGTAGCCGTCTTGACCCATAATCTAGGTAGGTAACACATATTGCGTTTTTCCGGACATCATTTCTAATCTAAATGCCATACGATTCACGGCTAGGTATCAGCCACTGCCTCTAGGTTGGGAAAGAACGTGGAAGCACTCGCGGTAGTTTTCGAAAATTTCAACCACAAGTCCATAAATTAAGCATTATAAGCTTGTTGACATTGTTATTTCTCTTCTAACATCATATTTAACAAATACAAGTAGTAGTATATTATTTCTGTTGTACACCAGACCTACATACTCCTTCACAGATAGTCACTCACTTGCGTCTTGAATAGACGCCTATATAAACCAAGTGGCGAAAAAACTTAAGTCTGTGCCTATATGCGTTACGACGCCTAGCTTAATACGTGAATACATCTGTATTAAGAACAAATCACTATGCATCATATCAAATGCTTTACTGACATGGGGATACGCGGAGCATCACATATCATGTCTTTGAATTATAGCTGAAGGTTATCCTGATAAAAAGGGCTTTACTTTTGTGACTGATTGTAGAAAAGCTCCAACATTGCCCTCCCAATACATCATGAACTGCCTTGTTCGTATGAGTAACATCCTTAGAATATTCAGTCACAGTAATGTCCACGATCGTAATACCAGGTGCAGGGGTAACCTAATTCCAGAGTTCTGCAAGCTAACAAGATATCAAAATTCTTCAAGGTAATGCGAAAACTGTTTTGATTTTTGGTGCTTTCTATAGTGTAGATGCACTTGTTC